GGTTCACCCCCTTCTTTCCCCCCCCCCCCCAAATCCCCCACACTCGGCTACCCTCTATGTCCACACAGGTCTTGCGACCCCCACGAATCAACTCTTCCAGGGTTGCCACCTTGTGAGTTTAATGATGGGAGTTCAGGATCAGGAAAGAAAGAGATTCACTTGCCGAACCTGGGCCAGGGCCCAGTGAGCCATAGCGTTGGATGGGTGGTGGTGGGGGGCCGCTACCCAAAGCGTGGGGGGCGCCCTCCCAGCAGAGAGCAGGGTGAATGGGCGACAACGTGGCGGCGGGCGTGCCGTGCTGGCGAGCGCCAGGCAGTGCAAAAGGGAGCCCGACATGATGATGCCAGCCGGAGGTGGAGGCACGTGGTGTGGGGGGACCCCTCTGGCACCTGGGACAACCCCCCCCCCCAGCATGCACAGGCGAACGGGGCCTGGCCTTGCTCGGAGACTGAGAGGGAAAAGGCTGCTGCGGTCACAGTGGAGGGCTCAGAGAAGGGGGCTGCAGCGGTGGGAAAAGGCAAACTCCATGTTAGGGATTCTGAGGAAAGGGACTGAGAACAACCCAGAGGATACTGCAAAGCCCCCTGTGTAGATCTACAGTGCGGCCTCATTTGGAAGACTCTGTACAGTTCTGGTCACCAAATCTCAAAAAGGACCCTGCAGAGCTGGAAGAAGGACAGGAGGGAGCAGCCGAGATGATTGGGGAGGCTGGGGGGGGGGGCTGGAGCACCTCCCCTTTTAAGTCTAGAAAAGAGATGACTGGGGGGGGGGACATGATAGAGATGTATAAAATTATGCACGAGATGGAGAGAGCTGACAAAGAGAACCTTCTCTTCCTCCCCCCAAATGCTAGAGCTCGACAGATTCACAGAGGAGAGGTCTATCAGTGGCTACTGGCCATGGTGACTAAAAGGAAACCTCCACATTCAGGGGCAGCAAACCTCTGGATCCCAGAGCCAGGAGGCAACATCAGGGGAAGGCCTCGGCCTCTAGGCCCTGTTGCTGTCCCTCCAGGGAACTGGCTGGCCACTGTGTGAGACGGGAGGCTGGACTGGATGGACCCTCCCTGGTCTGACCCAGCAGGGCTCTTCTGAGGATCTTCTCAGGGGAAGGCCTCAGCCTCTCTGCCTTGCTGCTGGCCCTCCAGGGGAACTGGCTGGCCCCTGTGTGAGACGGGAGGCTGGACTGGAGGGACCCTCCCTGGTCTGACCCAGCAGGGCTCTTCTGGTGTCCTGATCAGGGGAAGGCCTCGGCCTCTCTGCCCTGTTGCTGGCCCTCCAGAGGGACTGGCTGGCCCCTGTGTGGGATGGGAGGCTGGACTAGAGGGACCCTCCCTGGTCTGACCCAGCAGGGCTCGTCTGGTGTCCTTCTCAGGGGAAGGCCTCGGCCTCTCTGCCCTGTTGCTGGCCCTCCAGAGGAACTGGCTGGCCCCTGTGTGGGATGGGAGGCTGGACTAGAGGGACCCTCCCTGGTCTGACCCAGCAGGGCTCTTCTGGTGTCCTTCTCAGGGGAAGGCCTCGGCCTCTCTGCCCTGTTGCTGGCCCTCCGGAGGGACTGGCTGGCCCCTGTGTGAGATGGGAGGCTGGACTGGAGGGACCCTCCCTGGTCTGACCCAGCAGGGCTCTTCTGGTGTCCTTCTCAGGGGAAGGCTTCGGCCTCTCTGCCCCATTGGTTGGCCCTCCAGGGGGACTGGCTGGCCCCTGTGTGAGACGGGAGGCTGGGCTAGAGGGACCCTCCCTGGTCTGGCCCAGCAGGGCTCGTTCGTAACAATGCACAGGGTTGCCATTCCCCTCCTGATGGGGGCAGGGGTTCCCCCGATTTTGGGGCCCCCAATCCACGGGACGGCAGGGCCCTGAAGAGCCGTGTCCCGCCCAACACAATGGCATCACCCAGAGGGGACATCATTGAGCCAGGCACATTGCGTGGGGGGGGGGGGGCAAAAGCCTCTCGGGGCCAGAGAGGACTGCAGAGGGGAGGGCAGAGGGGGCGGCTCCTGCGGGACTCAGCAGAGGAGGAGGAGGAGGAGGGACTCAGCAGGGCATCGGGCTCATTTGTTTATCTGTTTCGTTAAGGCTTCTATCCCGCCTTCCCCACAGTGTAGGCTCGGGGCAAGTACTCAGGCAAAACAATCTACCCTCCACCAAGTGCCTCCTGAAATAGCCCCTGAACATCCCAGAAACCTGGGCGCAAACTCTCTCGGGGCCAGAGAGGACTGCAGAGGGGAGGGCAGAGGGGGCGGCTCCTGCGGGACTCAGCAGAGGAGGAGGAGGAGGAGGGACTCAGCAGGGCATCGGGCTCATTTGTTTATCTGTTTCGTTAAGGCTTCTATCCCGCCTTCCCCACAGTGTAGGCTCGGGGCAAGTACTCAGGCAAAACAATCTACCCTCCACCAAGTGCCTCCTGAAATAGCCCCTGAACATCCCAGAAACCTGGGCGCAAACTCTCTCGGGGCCAGAGAGGACTGCAGAGGGGAGGGCAGAGGGGGCGGCTCCTGCGGGACTCAGCAGAGGAGGAGGAGGAGGAGGGACTCAGCAGGGCATCGGGCTCATTTGTTTATCTGTTTCGTTAAGGCTTCTATCCCGCCTTCCCCACAGTGTAGGCTCGGGGCAAGTACTCAGCCAAAACAATCTACCCTCCACCAAGTGCCTCCTGAAATAGCCCCTGAACATCCCAGAAACCTGGGCGCAAACTCTCTCGGGGCCAGAGAGGACTGCAGAGGGGAGCGCAGAGGGGGCGGCTCCTGCGGGACTCAGCAGAGGAGGAGGAGGAGGAGGGACTCAGCAGGGCATCGGGCTCATTTGTTTATCTGTTTCGTTAAGGCTTCTATCCCGCCTTCCCCACAGTGTAGGCTCGGGGCAAGTACTCAGCCAAAACAATCTACCCTCCACCAAGTGCCTCCTGAAATAGCCCCTGAACATCCCAGAAACCTGGGCGCAAACTCTCTCGGGGCCAGAGAGGACTGCAGAGGGGAGGGCAGAGGGGGCGGCTCCTGCGGGACTCAGCAGAGGAGGAGGAGGAGGAGGGACTCAGCAGGGCATCGGGCTCATTTGTTTATCTGTTTCGTTAAGGCTTCTATCCCGCCTTCCCCACAGTGTAGGCTCGGGGCAAGTACCAACACACAGGTCTACAATCATGCAGATTTGCAGTTAAAACCATTAATAATTTACAATTAAGGTCTGCAACTAAAGTAGCTTTACCAATAAAACACATTATAGCAGTCAATTTAAAATCAATAAGATCACCACGGACCAAAACCATGGCATGCCTCAGCGGATCACAGTGTGGTGGTCCCCTCTGGCTTCCGAGAACTGTGGTCTCTCTGGAGGGGAGGCCGGGGCAAACGGATGCCCCTTAAATGAAGGGCGGGAAGGGGCTGGCTGGAGCCCAGGGGAGACTCTCCCACCGTCAGGGCTGTGCCAGAGTGGGACCGGCTGCCGTGGCCGGACACGGGTCCCTTCTGGCCAGGGATGCTATCGGGCGGATCCGGCACGGAGCGGGAGGGGCGGGACTGGGTGGCCCGCGGGGCCCCTCCCAGCTCTCTGGGTGGCTCCATGGAGTCTATGAGGACGGCCAGGACCTCCTGCGGGTGGATCGCGGTGATTCTGGCTCAGCAGTAGAAAGAGAGGGGGCTTTTTTTGGGAGGGGGTTGTTGTTGTTATCCCCTGAGAGGGTGGGGGGACACATACACACACACACAGACGCTCAAAATAAAATAATTAAAAAACCCCGCAGGCTTTGCAAATGCTGGCTGCTCTGCCTGACTGGCTCGACAGCATTCTGCTTTTGTGGCTTTGTCCCCCCCCCCCCGCCCCCGCCACGGCTGCCCCGTTTCTCGTCTTGTCCCCCCCGGGAATCTGTGGCTTTGCCCCCCCCCCCCCGCCACGGCTGCCCCGTTTCTCGTCTTGTCCCCCCCGGGACAGCCAGCCAGCCAGTCGTGTGTCCCTGCGTGTCCCTCTGCCAAGCCCGCGGAGGCCCCCGTGCCGCTCGGCCCCCGGCTCCCTCTGAGACGTGTGTCTCGGTCTCTTCCCGGGTCCCTCCCCTCCGCCTTCTGGGGTTTCTCTGGTCCAGGGGATCTTCTGCTCTTCTGCTCCAGAGAGGCATGCTCAGAGAAAGGGGCCTGACCAGGACTGCCCCACAAAGCAGGACTTGGGCTGCCCCACACAGGCTAGCGCCCCCGCCCGCCACCCGGGCCAGGGCGGGGGGGGGGAGGCTTTCCCTGAGCTTGGAGGGGACTGACCGTTTCAAAGACGGGGTTCTGCTCGGCCGGGGCAAACAGCAGTTCCTGCCCCTCCTCCTCTTGCACGGCATCAATCCCGTCGTCCTCGTACTCTGTCAGGCAGTCCGATTCCTCTCCTGCTTGGTGCGCAAAGAGACATCTGATCACCCCCAGGACGGACTCAGGGTTTTCACAAATCCGCACCTTCCCCTCAGGACCAGCCCCTGGAGAGTCAGTGCGGGGGAGTGCTTATCTGGGAGAGCCAGGCTCAAACTCCCACGTGTGCCATGGAAGCTTGCTGGGGGACCTTGGGTCAACCATATGCTTTTTGCCTAACACACCTCATAGGGTTGTTGGGAGGATAAAACTGAGGAAAGAAGAACGGGGCAGGCCACTTTGGGTCCCCGTGGTGGAGAAAGGCCGGATATAAATGAATGAATGAGTAAACGAATCCCCTCTGACAATGCCCTCACCCACGGTTTTCAGACATTTCTACCGGTGCCTCCTCAGTCCTCCCTCTCCTATTCTGAGCCGCTTGTGTGTGGTGCGCGCCTTCCCACGCACGAGCTCTTCAGTCTGCCCACACAGCACTTGCTATGTCTGTCTCGCCAATAAGCCCGCGAGGTCGCCAAGACGGCTCAATAAGGGTTCTACAAAGCTATTCCTTCCACGATGCTCCTGGCCAAACAGGAAGCAGGGGAAAGACTGGATAGGAGATCATGTAGAAATAAAGGCTGGACCATACAACAGAGACTCCCTCATGGATCACTGCCTTGTCGTGGCGAGGGGGCTTGCGTGGTTTGATGAGGCTGTGGGCTATGCCGTGGAGGGCCTCCCAGGACAGACAGGCCACAGCAGAGGACTCAGCTCCCTCCACCCATCCCTTTTGGGGGGGGGGGCAGCTGCTGGTGACCGTGCAAGGAGGCGGCTCCCGTTCTGTGTGTGTGTGAACCCCCACCCCCCCCAGGCCGCTCAGGCACAGACCGCGGCCCTCTCATAGCCCCCCCTATGAAAAAGGGGAGTTGGCTCAATTCTGAAGTAAAACCAGAAACATTTCTTCAATAAACGTTGTCTATTATTCAGGTGAATGAGTATCGTGACAAACAGAAAAAACTCTTGAGAGAAAAAACCCCTCTCAGCCTCAACTGGGAGGCGAGGGAAGAAGCAGAGAGCAGCGGTGGAGATCCCAATCTCTCTCTCCGTGGCGGCGGCAGAAGGAGAACGGAGGGAGTCGCGCCCCCCCTCCTGGCCCTGCGGCCCCTTTGGCAGGGGAGGGCCGGGGGGAGGAGGGGCGCGCCCAGCCCGCCGGAGAGCTCTGGGGATCTTTTCCATGGCCGGCCTGTGACTGTGCCGATGCCACAGAGGAGGAGAACACCGGAACGGGGGCAGCCGCCTGTGGACCTGGGTATGTCTGGGGAGCTCGGTCCGAGTCCAGGAGCACCTCCGAGACCAGCAAGACTTCCGGGGTGTTCAGCTGTCAGGAGCTCCCCTCAAATGCTCACCCCCCCCCAACATCTCGTTAGCCCTCTAAGCGTGGCCCCCGGAGTCCAGCCCAGCTGTTCTCCTGCAGACCAGCACAGGGCCACCCTCTGGAACTCTGGGCGTGGCCGGGGGGGGGGGGGGGAAGGGGGGCACTGTGGCAGGAATCCCCTGAGGGCCCGGGAAGGACGGACCGGCACTCACCGTCTGCGTAGCTGTCGGACACGTAGCTCTTGGCTGGCTCAATGCGAGACACGATCTCAGCCAGGTCGGTGAATCCTGCACTGGGACACGTCAGCACCTGGAACGGGAGAGGAGAGTGACGTCGAGAGGCAGGAGAATTGGGGGCGGCGGGGGGGGGGATTAACAGGGCATCCCGAGGAGGAGGAGGAGGAGGAGGGGAGGACTCAAGAGGTGCAGCGCTGCTACTCCCCTAAGTAGGTGTCAGGTGAAAAGGAGGAGAATCTGGAATGGACACCACCAGGCCACACCTTTGCTCTCTTGCAAAAGTAGAAGAGATTGGATTCATACCCCGCCCTTCACTCGGAGTCTCAGAGCACCTTACCACCTCCTTCCCCTCCCCACAACAGACAATACCCTATGAGGTGGGTGGGGCTGGGAGAGCTCTGAGAGAACTTGTGACTGACCCAAGGTCACCCAGCTGGCTGCATGTGGAGCAGTGTCAGGTCCAACAGTCAAACAACTGGAGTACAGCCTTCCAAGAAGCATATACTTTATTGTCAGTACTACTGGTCAGGAACACAAGCACTGTTAGGAATGATTCAAAAGGGAAAGCTTACTGAAATATACAAACGCCCCCCCCCCCCATGGGCCAACTGGCCTGATTCCCGCGGGCGGGAAGGAAAAACCGAAGGCACAAAGCAGCTGAGCTGGGAAACGAAACCAGTCCCACGGTTAATTAATATGAAGACACTACAATTAGACAGTGGTGCAAGGTTACAGATAACAGGAGAAACGAGACAGGGAAAGGAATGCGGCACCCCCTTGTACACAGGTCCATAAACAATATGGCAGTGTAGCTGACATTCTGCCCACCAATGCTCCCTCTAAGGTGTGCAGTCTTGTGAGCAGAAATTTTACCCTGTGAGCCAAAAATGGTGCTAGTTTTAAAACTGTGAGCAGGCCGACATTTAAAAAAAAAAAAATTCAGTGTACAGACAAAACATACAAACATAACATATTAACTATTAACATTTGTATTACAAGCCATATATTTATATTAAACGTATTTATATTTATATGGAACATATTTGTATTACTTATATGACTCTTTCAAACTATATTTTAGAAAGGACTGTTCTGACTTTTGGGATAAGTTTAAACAAAAATCTTTTGTGTGTATGCACAAAACCCCACACCATAGGTTTTCTTACATTTATAGAGATCAGCGGGTTACATCTTTTAAAAAGCCCCCCCAAAACAGTCCCTCACTAAGCATACTCCCAACAGTTACAAAATGGAGATTAAAACTAGGAAGAGCTGCAGTTATATTACTTTGTCTTATTGTTTTAGTTAAAACCTGCCTCAAGCAGGGTCTTTGGAGATACCTCTTAACAAATAAATAGATAATAAACAAATGATGTGTCTTTCCCTTGGTTGTTTTGGTATACAGTTAGAAGAACGGACTGCAGCATGTGAGTTCTAACCCTACCTGCTCTATCCCACACATAATCTTGTAAACCTTGTAATCTTGTATTGTTTTAGTTAAAACCTGCCTCAAGCAGGGTCTTTGGAGATACCTCTTAACAAATAAATAGATAATAAACAAATGATGTGTCTTTCCCTTGGTTAATTGTTTTGGTATACAGTTAGAAGGATGGGCTGAAGCGTGCGAGTTCTAGTCTCCTGTCCCCTCCGGATATTTTGTTGTTGCTGCTGGGAGAGTTTTGCTGCTG